GGGCCTCTCACTGTTGTGGCCTTTCCCGTTGCGGAGTACAGGCTCCGGACGCACAGGCTCAGCGGCCATGGCTCACGGGCCCAGCCGCTCCGCGGCATGTGGGATCTTCCCAGACCGGGGCACGAACCTGTGTCCCCTGCATCGGCAGGCGGACTCTCAACCACTGCGCCACCAGGGAAGCCCTGAATATAATTTTTAATCGCACTAATGATAGTGTGCTGTATACACTGTAGTGCGCTTTGGTTTCTGACTTAATGAAACATCTTGAGATCTCCCCATAACTTTGCATAGAGCTGCCTCATTCTTTTTTAATTTTGTGCCTATTTATTTGTTTTCATGGCAAACTGTTATTATTTTTAAATTTACATATAGTAAAATTGAATTTTAATTTTGATGTACAGTTGTGTTCTAACATCTGTGTACCCACCACTACAATCAGGAAACAGAAATATTTCAAACATATCTATGTCATCACCACCAATGACAAAGAATACTACTGGCAGGCACCTCAAACTTCCCTCCTGATTGTTATGCCTTTCCTACACCCCAAGACAATATTTCTCTTGACTTCTAACACCGTAGGTTAGTTTTGCCTACGTGAAGTAAAGGAGTATACATTTTTTTGTTTGCCTTCTTTGGCTCAACATTATGTAAGGTTCATCCATGTTATTATGTGATTACTATAGAACAATGAATTACACAACATTTCATTATTTTATAGCATTTTTTTGGCATGCAGAATAAAAAAAAAACCTTTCATATAAACTGTTTTTTTGTAATTTCTGGATTTTGTGCTATACTTAGGAAGGCTTTTAGCACTCCAGGGTATAAAATAAATCTTCCAATGTTTTCTTCTAGTGATTTAATAATTTCATTTTTTCAGGTGTGAGGAATGAATCCAACTTTTTTTTTTTTCAAGATACTCATTATTCCAAATACTCATTTAATCTTCATGGGAAATTTATGATGGATACAATGACACATCTTCATTTTACAGATGAAGAAACTGACACATACAAAAAGTTCAGTCATTTTCCCCTATCACAGAACTAATAAATGGCAAACATGGGACTTGAACCCGGTCAGTTGAGTTTAATGCCTTTGTGCTTATTCATTATACTACCCAGCCTTTCCACCCACACAGTATCTTGTGCACGAGGCAAGGATCCAAACATTTGCAAGAGTGAATTTGTTTACTTAGGAGTCTGATTATCACATAGTTATTCAGTAGGAGCAGAGAATTTGACACTTCACCTCCATTCCCTCAGCCCTTCTCTTTGTTACCAAGAGGCCTCATTCTTGAAATAAGATTTTTTTTTTCTCAGCCCAGTGTTGGGTTTTCCCTTCCAAGGACTCTTCTCATTAGATTGTTGAGTCATCAGCTGGGTAAACAGCCCTAGGACATATGTAAACAATTACAAAACTTAAAAAATTGAGCAGGGTGTGTCTCAGAGAAGAGAAGGAAATGTGAAACATACTACAGTTGGAGACCAGGATAAAGGGCAAGAAGCCTGAGGTCAGTTTCCACTTCGGTCACTGAGATCATATGACTCTGGGAAGGTCACTTTTTGGCTCTTCGTTTTGCAATAGCAATAATAATGTAGCCCTTCACTTTTCCTTAGTTTCCTTATCTCTGCCTACAATGGGAATTAAATTAAAAACAAAGATACCAAAAAAACCCAAAAATTCTTTAAAGAAAAGGCCCCAGGCTGAAAAGTAAGCTAAATTCCTGGGAGAGTCACAAAGTTTAGACACTGATGTGCAGACCTTTCTTCCATAGGAGGTCTTCCAACTGTTTTATAACTTTAATTTTTTAAATAAGTTTTTGGCCGTGCTATGTGGCATGCAGGATCTTAGTTCCCTGTGGAGTCTTAATCACTGGACTGCCAGGGAAGTCCCCATATAATTTTTTTTTTTTTTTCTATACGCGGGCCTCTCACTGTTGTGGCCTCTCCCGTTGCGGAGCACAAGCTCCGGACGCGCAGGCTCAGCGGCCATGGCTCACAGGCCCAGCCGCTCCGCGGCATGTGGGATCCTCCCGGACCGGGGCACGAACCCGTGTCCCCTGCATCGGCAGGCGGACTCTCAACCACTGCGCCACCAGGGAAGGGAAGCCCCCCATATAATTTTAATTTACGTAGCCATAAGATGTTCTTTTGCAAAATAAATATTAAAAACATACTATGTTTCAAAGTGTTCTGGTGAAGTACATTAAAACAGGATAGGAATACAAGTATTTCAGTCCGCTCCAGATCTGTTACTTGCTATAGCCAAAATATGTATGCATATATATTATATACATATATATCCCCCCCAACCTTACAAATGTTGGCAAATCTGGTATGTGAAGAACAACACAGCTGTAGCACTTTCACATTTGTGGATAAGTGCTCTCAATGTACAAAATATTTTTTCTTTTCTTTCCTTTTTTTTTCTTTCTTTGCAACCAGGAAAGAATATATGCTGGTGAGGACACTGGATATCAATCAGTAAATCATTTTGGAGCAAAGTATTGGAGAACATAGCGAAATCAATGTCAATGGTAGTCTATGCCACCATGGTAAGGGATCCAGAGGCAGTGTGGGTGGGTGGTGTGGGCATGGGCTTTAGAGCCATGAAAGCTCTGGGTTCAAATGCTGCCTACACCATGTCCAAGCTGTGTTACTTTGGGTGAAATTCTTAACCTCTCTGAGCCTCGGGTTTTTAATTTCCATTTTAAAGTTTTCATACAGTGAAGTTTAGTGTTTGTGGTATATAGTTTTCCGGGTTTTGACAAATGCACACAAAGTTGTATATCTACCACTATAGTTATGATATGAACTGTTTCATCATCCCAAAGACTCCCTCATCCTGCCCTTTTGCAGTTAACACCACTCTACCCCAACCCAGTCCTGGCCTACTCAACTCCTAGCAACCACTGGTCCATTCTTCCTCCCTATAGCTTTGCCTTTTCATAATGTCATATAATTGGAATCTGTTGGGCTGCATCCCACAGGCCTGCAAGCCTTGTACTTGCCCAGCTTCAAGACCAAAGAGAGTCCAGAGTCAGTGACAGAGACATCAGTGGTTTAATGGATGGGGGATCTTACATGTCTGAAACAAGGTCCTGGAGCGACACCCCACTGTGTGCATCAGGACACGGCACTAGTCTTTGCTTCCAGGCAGAGGGGAGGTTACCAGTTATAGGGAGAATTGACTTCCGGTTGGCTCATTGGTTACCAAGGAAACCAGCAGAGGAGCGTGCCCCTCACCTCCCCTTTGGTAAACTATCATAGTGGCGAGATTCTGATCTAAAGATGAGAACAATCACTAGTTGGGGCTGGGGGCAAGTATGCAGGCATTTACTGATGAAGGTCTATGATTAAGAGGGGAGGTCAGTCAAGTGAGTAGGGTGTAGGTGACGCAGGGACTATACAAAGAGCAAGATATATATGTATGGCTTCTTTTGGGTCACTCAACAAAACTTAAGGAGATCCATTTAGGTTGTTATGAGTATCAACACTCTGTCCTTTATACTTCAGAGTAGCATTCCATGGTATGGAAGTACCACACTTTGTTTATCCATTCATTGACCTAAGGGCATCTGGGTTTTGATAATTTGTGTCAGATATTCCCTTATAATATCTGTAGAATCTATGGCAGTAAGCCCTTTTTAACTCCTGATATTGATACTTACTGTTTTTCTTTCTATGAGTCTTACTAGGGGCTTACCAATTTTATTAATCTTTTCTAAGAACCAAATTTTAGTCTTGTTGGTTTTTCTCTATTGTCTGTTTTCTATTTCATTGATGTTTTGCTCAGTATCTTTTATTTCATTCCTTCTACTTACTTCGATTTTAGTTTTTTCTTCTTTTTCAAACTTCTTAAGGTGGAAGCTTAGATGATCGATTTTTCAATCTTTATTTCCTTTGCAATACAAACACATAATACTATTATTTTCCATGTAAGCACTGCTTTAGCTGAACCTCACAAATTTTGCTATGCTCTGTTCTCATTGTCATTCTTTTAAAATATTTTCTAGTTTCCCTTGTGCTTTGCTTTTTGGCCCATCAACTATTTGGAACTGTTCAGCATAATTTCCAAATATTTGGGGACTTTCTAGATATCTCTGCTATTGATTTCTAACTTAATTACTTTGTGGTCGGAGAACACACTACGTGATATTAAGCTTTTGAAATTAATTGAGACCTGTATTATGAATTAGCACATGGTCTATCTTGGGGAATGTTCTATAAATATTCCCAAAAAACCCCGTGTATTCTGCAGTTGTTGGGTCTTTTCGAAAAAGATCAATTAGGCAAAGTTAGCTGATCCAACTTCTCTATATCCTTACTAATTTTTTTGTCTACTTGTTCTATTAAAGACTGAGAGAGACCCCCAAGGACCTGGCACTTAGAATTAAAGATTTTTGAAGAAATATATGAAAATATACGATTTCTGTGAAATAAAAAATAAATAAAGGCGATGTCCAAAGACTGAAATCTTCCAATATCGGCCAGAAACATCTGGACCCTGGGAGCCCCGTGTCAGGCACTTCTTGAACCCTGGAAGAGTCCAGCAAAGGGAAGAGGGCCCCTCCGGGAAGCAGTAGGAGTACGAGACACTGAAGGCAGAGAATCCTAACCACAAATACTGAACAAAAGTACACTATCCTTCAGAGCCCTCGGCAGGTTCCCTGGGTCCCCTCTTCTCGCACCCCGGACACCCACACATGCGGTTCTTTGCGGCAGAATTGTCAGCCTTGCGGTCCTCAACAGAAGCAGCACCCTCCCCGCCAGACGTCGCAGCGCGGAAGCCCCGGTGTGCGTCAGCGTAGCTCAGGATCTGAGGGCATCTATGCACGCAGTGAGCATAAGCAGCGCAAACCCCTGCATCTTCCGGGAGCGACCCTGGAGCGCGCATGTGCGGGCCCGACTCCAGCTTGTCCCCTCCGGCACTCCGTAGCACTCCCTCGGCGAGCTCCACGTAGGCCGCGCAGGCGCCTTGGGCACACGCTCACCTGGTGCCGTTGTCGCCGCCGCCGCCGCCGCTGCCGCAGGAGCTGGATGGGGGGCCGAGGCCAACCGGTGGCACCCAGAAGAGAGAGACGCGGCGGCGGCGACGCCGACACCCGCAGGACGAGTGTGCCGACCCGCCCGCGAGGCCAAGGAGGAGAGGCGAGGCCCGGCCCCCGCGGTCCCTGGTGTAGAGAACCCTCCGTCGCCGCCGCGGCCGGGTCTCTCAGAGCACTCGCCCTCAGGTCTCATTCACATTCAGGAACCCGCGTTGCGCCATGTTCAAGAAACTGAAGCAAAAGATCAGCGAGGAGCAGCAGCAGTTCCAGCAGGCGCTGGCCTCTACTCTGGTACTATGGCCGCCGCGCTCTCCTAGTTCCCTGACCTTTGACCTCTAACCTGAGGCTTCCCCCAGACCCCGGACTGGGAAAGAGCTTAGGGCGGTCCAGGTCCTCCGTGATTCCTGACCCGGGTCCCCTATCCTAAAACTCCGTTCTGGTTGGGGGAGGCTGGATTCGTGATACCTGACCTTTGGTAATTTCCCCTAATGCCCAACCCAGTCTGAGAATAAGTGAGAAGGGCTCCGATCTTTCATGATTTTTGAGCCATATCGAAGGTTCCACCAACCATCCGAGACCCCAACTCAAGAATGAGGGCGGAATGGGAAAACCAGGGTCCCTTGTAACATCTGATCTCTCGACTGAAGTCCCCTCTCTGATCCCCGACCCGAGATTGAGTACGGAGGGGCCCCTGGCCCTTGACGAAGTCTAATTCCAAACCCTGGTCCAGGGGTGAGGGCCAGGGGTCGAGCCATTCCTGCCCAGGCTCATTGCAGGAGCACTGGGACCTGAAAGAGGTGGCGGTGTGGCCGGTGTCCAGCGCCCGAGGCTGTCACGAGTTAGTCACTTCGCATAACTTGGTTGATCCGGGACGGGCGGAGGGGCTGACACTGCGCGGCCCAGCAGGGCTTGCGCCTGTCCGCAGCTCGGCTCTGCTTCTTCAAGTCTCGTTAATATTTGTTTTTCACGAACGCTGTTGCTTCAGGAAATGACAGTTTTCAGGAAAAACGGGGCGTGTTAGTAGTGTTAATTTAAAGAAGCAAAAGCAGTTTCCTAAGCAGCTGTGATTGTGTGTTTGGGTGCTGGCAGCACGTGGTCCCTTCAGCAAAGGGGAGGGCGACTGCTAAATTCCTTCCCAGCCTTTCAGAGTCTCAACAGATGGAGCAAATCTCTTTCTTAACTTTAGAGTTTCTACAAGAAAGACTGTTTTGACTAATTTGGAGGCATTTCTAAACATCTTTAACATAACATTTATCGTATACAACTTTTAAATATAGCTAACTAATTAACAACTACTAAATCAAACAACTATTGAATTTATTCTGAAGCTGTAAATTGAAGTTGTTCTCTAAAAATGTAAAGCTCCCCTAGAGGGAAACAGTGGTTGAGATACACAGGTACATGGTACTGAAAGCTTGCTTGTTCATTCTCCCAAGTGAACCGTAAATAGTGATTAAGATTTCAGTACTAAAATTTTACTTTTCATACCATTTACCACAAGCTTTTAAATTTTACAAAACACCATTATTTAAGAAACAAAGGAAAAACTAAAATATGAGGTACAGATGAGGAATGTGGGGAAACAGGCGTGGTAGTGAATGTAAGGGACTCTATACATATCACTGATCCAGGATTCCACCTCTAGAAATTTATTCTAAGAAAATTTAGGATGTATTAAGCAGTTAGCCACATGGATATTCACTTCAGTGTTGTTTTTTTTTGTTTGTTTGTTTGTTTTGCGCGTTGCTGCGCGCGGGCTGTCTCTAGTTGTGGCGAGCGGGGGCTACTCTTCGTTGCAGTGTGCAGGCTTCTCATTGCGGTGGCTTCTCTTGTTGCGGAGCACGGGCTCTAGGCATGTGGGCTTCGGTAGTTGTGGCACCCGGACTCAGTAGTTGTGGCTCACGGGCTTAGTTGCTCTGCAGGATGTGGGACCTTCCCAGACCAGGGATCGAATCCGTGTCCCCTGTGTTGGCAGGCAGATTCTTAACCACTGCACCATCAGGGAAGTCCCGAAGTTCTGGATTATTGTTTTCAGAGTTAAGGATTTCTTTCAAGCATGAATTAAACAAATATTTTTTGATGGGACAGTCCTTTTATAACAGATTACACATATCCTTGTTTTCTCGTGCAAAGGATCCTGAATTTGTATAATATCAATTTCTTCTTTTTTTTTTTTTTTTTTTTTCCGGTACGCGGGCCTCTCACTGCTGTGGCCTCTCCCGTTGCGGAGCATAGGCTCCGGATACGCAGGCCCAGTAGCCATGGCTCACGGGCCCAGCCGCTCCGTGGCATGTGGGATCCTCCCGCACCGGGGCACGAACCCATGTCCCCTGCATCGGCAGGCAGACTCCCAACCACTGCGCCACCAGGGAAGCCCATGTCTTCAGTTTTGAGTATGAATTATTTTGTGTTGAAGGCACCATGCCCTCAGGAATTTAATGGTGTGTGAAAGACAATTCCCTTTTACCCACTCAGGAGGATTTGTTTTTGGTCTACTTTTTGTAATTACTTTGTAGCCTCCCTTGCTATCTTCCCAGTGGTGTTCTTCCAACTTCTGAATTGTTTGGGCTTTAAATCAAGACAAGACACTAAACTTCTAAAATTTTGTGTAAAATAAGGACAAGTACCTAAGAGATTCTTTAGTGTATTTTAGTGTTATTAACACAAAGTTTGAGACCTTTGTTTTGAGATTTTGGGGGCCTGTGTGTGCATACTTCCTGGTTCTTAGCTTGCTTTCCAGAGGGGAGATTGCCTGATAGGGATGTTTCAAGTAGAGTGAGTTGTCAGGTCTTGATAATTCTGGGATAAATGAACGATTTGCATCATAATATTTGCAAAACTTTCAGTAATAGTAATAGTGTTAGTAACACTATAAGGGTCCCTTAAGTTTTTGAAAGCATTCAATAAAAGACAGCCTTCTGTAGTCCCCAGTCACTTCTCTTTGGTTGGTGCTAAGTTTATTTGAACCCTTCTTTTTTTTTTTTTTTTTTTGCGGTACGCGGGCCTCTCACTGTTGTGGCCTCTCCCGTTGCGGAGCACAGGCTCCGGACGCGCAGGCTCAGCGGCCATGGCTCACAGGCCCAGCCGCTCTGCGGCATGTGGGATCCTCCCAGACCGGGGCACGAACCCACGTCCCCTGCATCGGCAGGCGGACTCTCAACCACTGCACCACCAGGGAAGCCCTAATATATATATATTTTAAGATTTATTTATTATTTATTTATTTTATTTATTTTTGGCTGCGTCGGGTCTCAGTTGCAGCACGCGGGATCTTCGTTGAGGCATGTGGGATCTTTTGTTGCTGCCCACAGCTTCTCTCAAGTTGCGGTGCGCGGGCTTCTCTTTAGTTGTGGTGTGCAGGTTTTCTTTTCTCTAGTTGTGGCGCGCAGGCTCCAGGGCGCGTGGGCTCTGTAGTTTGCAGCACACGGCTTAGTTGCCCCGTGACATGCTGGATCTTAGTTCTCTGACCAGGGAGCGAACCCGCATCCCCTGTATTGTAAGGTGGATTCTTTACCACTGGACCGCCAGGGAAGTCCCTCCATTTAATATTTTTTTAACAACAAATATCTACTTGGATTTTTAAATTCCTTACAGAATGAATTTGATAAAAATTATTAAAAAGTAATATAGAATCCTTTCTAACTTCTTAACATATATGTAGTGCCATGAATAAAAATATTTTTTAACATTTTCAGCCTTTTTCAAATATTATTGAAACTTAAAAATTATAAAAAGCACAGGCGCAAATGGACAGTTGTATGATTCCACTTGTATGGGGTACCTAGATTAGTCAGTTTCATAGAGACGAAAAATAGAATGGTGGTTGCCAGGGGCTGGAGAGGGGAGAGGGGAGTGGGGAATTACTGTTTAATAAGAACAGATTTTCAGCTTGGGAGGATGAAAAAGTTCTGGAGATGGATAGTGGTGATGGTTGCACAACAGTGTAAATATAATTAATACCACTGAACTGTACACCTACAAATGTTTAAAATGGTAACTTTTATGTATACTTTATCACAATAAAAAAAATTAAATTAAAAAAATTGCAAAATGTGGGGCTACCCCAAACCTGCAGAATTATAGCTTTTTTAGAGTGGGGCCTCAAAATAATAGTTTATGTAATAGAAATTTTTTTAAAATTCCACAGACAGCAGAGGAAAGAGTCACTTTCTGAAGGAACGTAGGCTTTTTGTAAACACCACTTGGCAAAATAATTAGCCTCAATCTAAAAAGCGTAACTCCCAGAGAGAATATTTAGATCAGAAAAATCAGAATGTCTTGAATGTTTATAAATCTGTATTTTGACCAGGGAGCATATAGTGGCTATTTGTATTACTTTATATAGAATATACATTAAGTTCTCATGTTTTAAATAATTTAAACAGTCCTTGTTCATGTGATTTAAAAAATCTGTGTGAAACTTGAATAGGGTAAGGGCCATACAAAGTTCTGTCATCTGCTTCTTAGTTTGATAGGAAGAGCTGGAGGAAAAAATTCTAGAGAGTCTTTGTAGCTTTCAGGATGAATTAACCCAATTTGTTAAACTGTGATGTTCAAAGACCCCAAGACATAGATGCAAATTATACATACCTTAACTTTACATCCCACGGAAGCTGTAGGCAGATTCAAAAGTGCATCCTCCTGGGCCCAGGTGAGAAAGCAGGGCTGGAAACTTCGATGTAGAAATTCAGTTAATGTGTTGATAAAGGTCAGGGCTGACTTAAAAGTCAGGGCTCTTAAAAAAGTAACAGCATTTGGTTTCTTCACCTTCTAAACCACAAAATATTAGGAAGACGTTCTCACTTAAACATTTATTTGGCTAGCTATTAAATTCCAGGTTGAAAAGTTTCCCTCAGACCATTGACTGTTTTTCTTCCTTCTAGCATCATGTGTGCTGATGAAAAGTCTAATTCCAAACTTGTTCTTTCTTTATTGGTAGTTAACTTGATCTTTGAATCTTTTCTTTTTTCCTTGATGCTAGAAAATTTCCAGTTTTCTTCTTTTTTTTCTTAAGTCTCCCTCCTTTTTTTTTTGCGGTATGCGGGCCTCTCACTGCTGTGGCCTCTCCCATTGCGGAGCACAGGCTCCGGACGCGCAGGCTCAGCAGCCATGGCTCAGGGGCCCAGCCGCTCTGCGGCATGTGGGATCTTCCCGGACCGGGGCACGAACCCGTGTTCCCTGCATCGGCAGGCGGACTCTCAACCACTGCGCCATCAGGGAAGCCCAGTCCCCCTCCTTTTTTTTTTTTTGCAGTATGCGGGCCTCTCTCTGTTGTGGCCTCTCCCGTTGCC